TTGGCGCCTGTCACCATATATTTTGTCCCTCCAAACAATCCCAGAATGCACTGTGATCTCTTTTGGGAAAAGGCTAATAGAGAGGTTATCATGGACGAGTATCGCCATTTTGTTTACCAATTTTTGCTGATGTCAGCATGTTTACCCGGAATTTCTACCTGTTGGCCGTTTCCCCGCGGTAAACCATGGTCTACACGTAAAACGAGTAGGGGGTTTTCTGTTTACTATTTGTGGGCCGTTTAAGTAGTAAAATACTTCAACATCTTACGTAAATAAATCAATGCATATATGCCCCTCAATTTTTCCCAAATCTATGATGTATTGATGAACCTTAACAATGAAAGTTACCACTCTCTAATCGGTTCTCGCACCCCGGAATATTTTGGATTTTTTAAGTTTCATGTGTACCCGGTTTACGGAGTATTTTAATCTCTGTATTGCTAATTTAGCCCATAGTGTAGCCTATTTTTCATGACACCTCTTTTGGTTTTGGAACTGACTAATCAGTGTAGCATGATTTCGAAGATTATAATTGGATTTATGTAATTATGAAGAATATAATTGGATTTAATCCGCGGTTTATGTCAGAACTACATGAAAAGGATTAATAGTATTTCGGCATTTTGAGCGAGGCCCTCGCCACTGGTATAGTTTAGTTAAAAAGATTCCTGCATCGTCAGTTTCGGTTGAGTCGCATGTAAAATTTGACTCGGGTTATCTATATAGATTCCTTTTGTGGTAACAGTGGACAAAATTTCCCTTACTGGATCTCTAGGGAGAACAGTTTAGAACTGATAGAGCTATCCGGTATAAATAAAGCCGTTAGTTTCCTCCTGTAGTAACACTGGATCTATAAGAGATGACCCTTACTTGGATCTCTAGAGAGAACAATCTAGAACTGATAGAGCTATCCGGTATAAATAAATTTAGCGGTTTAGTTCATGTTTCCTCCTGTAGTAACACTGGATCTATAAGAGATGACCCTTACTGGATCTCTAGGGTGAATAGTTTGGAACTGATAAAGCTATATCCGGTATAAATAAAGTTAGTTTAGTTGATGTTTCCTCCCGTAGTAAGACTGAATCTATAAGGGATGATCCTTACTGGACCTCCAGGAAGAACAGTTTAGAACTGATAGAGCTATCCAGTATAAATGAAGTTAGTTTTGTTTAGGTTCCCTCCTGTAGTAACACTGGATCAATAAGAGATGATCCTTACTGGATCTCTATAGGAAGAACAGAAGCTATCCAGTATAAATAAAGTTAGTTTAGTTTAGGTTTACTCCTGTAGTAACACTGGGTAAATAAGAGATTATCCTTACTGGACCTCTAGGGAGAACAGTTTAGAACCGATAGAGCTAGTTTAAAACTAGTATAAATAAAGTTAGTCCAAAGTTCACTATAGTTTAGTTAATAATAAAGAAGGGGCCTTCGCTCTTCGGGCATTTCAAACACAAATTCACAAACCTACAAAGAACTATAAATTTCCTAAATTGTATTTTTATGAAAGAAACTTTGATTATAAACCGCAATATTTGGTTACTAACGCTCTTAGAACAATGTTCTCACTAGGCGCGCAGAAAATTACTTGCTTCAAAGACAAAATCATTTTCCTCGCATAAATTACGACAATCAGTAATTTCGGTATACACTCGTGAATGAAATGCATCAGTTTCTTTTCTGATGAATGCAACACAAAAAGTTATAAAAAAACTTTACTCTATGTGGGAAGCTGTGATTCATCAGTTAAATGTCGTTGCCATCTGACATGTGCTAGGCAGTTAATGACCGCTTTTGATTGGTTAATGAACGTTTGCTAAGATTTACAATCGCCATACGGACAATACAAGCTAGAAGGTTGCAGCCGAACGCATTTGTAATGATGTATAAATAAATAAAAAGTTGAACCAAGTTAGCACAAAGTTTCTCCCGCGGTGCAAGAGAAGAAGTTTACGAAACAAAGCGGATAATACGTATTATCTGAGACATTCGTGTTGAATTGCAGAACTCAGCGGGCGGGTGTTTCCCTGGAGCTAGAGATTCGTAAATATTAACTAGTGTTGGCGATCAGTCACGCATGTCAAAAGGCCAAACAAATCGACTAAAGTTTGAGTGTTTCTCTAATTTCACGGCGTACTGCGAGAACTGGACTCGGGCTGTCTGCAGAGCTAGTTTCAACTATCCACAATACTTTGAGAAGTATTCGAACATCACCGATGCCGTTTGTTTGAAAAGACGCAGAATTGTGAGTATATGTATACATATATGTTGTCACTTTATGAGACTAAACTTAGTTGAATATGCCGGTTATACTATACCTCAAAACTACTTTGGGGGTTTAAATGACCCGAAATCTCACATCGAAGCGATTTAAGTCCGTCTTCCTAAAAGTTCACTCGCTTTTGCGCTGTCTTCGCCTAGATTACAGCCACAGTTGGCGAAGTTTTGCATAGTTTAATGTATTCTAATGTGCAATGCTTACTTATACGAAAGTAATATTTGAGAAGCTGCCAGCCAACATACTGTGCAGCATGAAATTCAGTTTAAACTCGGCAAAAAAACACCAAACTAACTTCCCCTTTACTTGAACTATGTGCTCTGAAGCGGAGTTTCATAACTTCTTCGAAAGTTGTGTGAAAATTACGACGAACAGTGTCGAACACCGCAGACACACGGAAATATCATAAAGATAGTTATTTATTGTTCAGAACTAGACAAAGAATAGATCATTGTTGGACACGGAGTAAACTATAAACTTTCCAAGTAACAATCGCCGCAACCTAGTTTTAGAACCGTGCATCCTCTTCGGCTATCTGCCGTTCAATCAAAGCGTGCTCCCTCAGAGCGCCGGTCTTTGGCCAGAGGTGACTTGTTGGCTCGCTGTGTGCATTTTTTTTCAAAACTTTTCTAATTAAAATTCAAAAAGCTATTTTGAATAGATCTGAAGATGATGAATCAATTAATTCCGCTTCGAATATGCAATAACTTTTCAAAACTTGTCAGGAAGATGTTCATACTCGAGATAGCAACGCATTTGGGACTTTTTACGAAAAATTATGAAATCCCGAATCCAAAGATTAATTTGTTGTCGTTTTAATATAGGTATGCAGTCAAGACATATTGAATTACCTCTATAGCCTAAAAGTTTGAAAAATCATCGTTGGTCTGTGGTTACTTGGATTTCTAAGCGTATACGCGTTTTAAAATGAAGAGACGTTACGAATTGAATAGTTTGGTGTGTTTCGAGGTAAGTTTAGAAAGAAGAATGAGTAATTTTGCGGCGGCCTGGAGTTCGTTTTGATTGTAATCGTATCGGTTTTGCTGGGGCCTCTCAGTAATAGCTTGACCTCATAGTGAGTTGGGAATTGTTTTCATACATGCCTTACACAAGCAGATTTGAAGTCAACTTCAGTACTTTACACCTAGAAAACTCTTTAAACTTAACCGCAAAGGCACTTAGGATATTCACAAGTATTCACCAAATGAATTTGTAAAGTTTTAGCGCAAAAGATGTACGCCAAAAGGGAAATTTTCTAAACATACGACCGAATTCTTTGCGACAAAGCCCGTAGGCGATTTGCATATATGACTCCAGCTGAAAGTTGATATCTCAACTATATTATTATAAACTCACAGCAATGAAATTAAACGTTGCTATATTGAGGTTCGGGTATTCGTATTTGTGTTTGCCCATATCGTATAGAAAAGCATCAAATTTTTCGCGCCAAACAGCGCAGGTAAAAGAACCCAAAACTTTTATATATGCAGATAATTTACAAGTTGTTTGCTTTTCATATATCTACATGTCATCTTTAGTGTTGCATATTAAAATATTATTTAGAACAAAAACTTTTCGGCGAAATTGAAGAAATGCAATTCACACACTATATATTAGCAAAACAAATACTATAATGCTAGGTATAGAATTGAGTCGAAATATTTGTTTTTCGTGTCAAGTTTTGCGAGAAAGTTTTTGCAAAGTTTTCCCCGGCTTACATCGGAAGGTAGACAGGAAACCCAAGGACTTCCGACTTCTTAGAGCTTGGACACACAAAAGCCTAAATTTCAACTATATTTGTTATATTCGCTTACACGTCAATTTTTCAATCCAATATGTCTTGTGCTGTTGTCGCCATTGCATTTTTTAAAGTTCAATTTACACTCAAAATGTTCTATTAATTGAACTGAAAGATATAATCGTTTGATCAATACAGAACGTCAGAAGCGAAAAGCGAAAAGTCAGAGTTAATTACAGCGCTAAAGTTCGAACTAAAAGCACTATAATCTATATGTTGTATTTCATGATGACCGCGCGAGCTTATCTGAGTTTAATCAGCGTACTATATGTGAATAGGACACGCCATCTAATAATTTGCTATCACGGGCAATATTTATCCATATATACCTAACGTGCCATATGGGAGGCATTTGGCCGGGGACTATTATTTCATATTTAACAGCAGGCATTAGCAAACAGAGAGGGCAATAAATCTCGCTCATTCGTTTTTGGACTATACGCTCTATACAGTAATTAAATACCAGAATAAAATGTATATTATACGAGTACTCTTATAGAAATGTGTGCAAATGGTAACTATGGACTTATATAGAAAAAGCTGTAAATTAAATTGCTTGTTTGGAGATAACCCGTGCCAATTGCAGACTGAAAGGTCATATGTGTAGGCTACTCGAATAAAAACAAAGGTTACTAGTTATACTAAAACAAATCTAATTTACCTGAAAGAGATGGCTTTTCTGAAAATTGTACTATAAAGTCTAAATACATACGACTAAGGTTTTAAGAGTAATTTGCTGGATTTCTATTATTGATATTTCAAGCCCACTATATCAACTAGATTTATACGGTAGCATATCCATGTTTGTTTAATTAAACCTTAGTATTGATCATGGTATGATTAGGAATGCAAATGCAATGAATTCTAACTACACAGTCACAGGATTTTCCAAATAAAATTCAAAACACGTTTCAATGTACTTTGGTGAATTTATACACGAGATAGTTTCAACATTAGAGAGGTTATATGTGACCATGTTTGTTTAATTAAGATTTTTCAATGGTGTTGCATGATGATGTTAGGAATGCACAGACCATACATGGTATTAAATGAAACAACATATCCAGAAACGATTCGCAAAGGTTAAGCAGTTCACCCTAGTGTTATATCTTGTCTTTTCGAGGGTGTCAATTTATGCGAACTGGCAAAACAAAGAAGAGAATGTGGGCATATCCAGAGATACGTCAAGTAGCTTAACCCTTTAAGTTGCAATGTGTCATTATGTTTTTCCATTTTTTTTTCAACTCTAATGCTGGCAGATCTATGATTTTATTTGTCAAGAGGAAATGGAGATAAACCAGATGTCAAGCAGTGCCTATATCTGATTCCATGATTTATGATGGTAGAATAACAACTAGTACACTTATGACCAAGTTCAATTTTAAAAATCTCAATCCAATGCTGATCCTAATCCTACCTCAATCCAAACCCCTTAGTCCTTGCCCAATCCTAATCTGTATGACATCAGCGCTTGTGGTGTCATGCTCACCATGCTTTGCGGTTTGCCTTCCAAGCTGGGAGATCCGGGTTCATTAATCCTCGGTCGGACCTATACTCAAGGACTTAATTAAATAGTTGAGGAGAAAGTACTACCTTCACACTGACATCAGTAGATGGTTAGACTTCCGCATCTTCTCAGATAGGTACCTCGGATCCCCTACATTTGGGCAATATAGCCTGTTGGGAAATCCGCTCACCAATGAACATATGGACGTCATCCAAAACGATTTGCAAAGAACAAAAGCACCTACCTAATTTTTTTATGAAGTTTTTTCTCCACTCCAGAAAGATTTAACGCCTCTGTGTTTCACTTAAATTTTTTCTAGAAGATAAATATTGGATGTTGTTAGTGTTGGTAGTTAGGGTCTACCCAATTGGCTCTCTTATCCGCCCCATGCTGTTATTTTATTATGCCGGAAAGCTATGGATTAAGAGAGATAGGAAGGCCCTTGCTCATAGGGAAGTTAGTGATTGGAAATTTTACTTTTAAAACCTCAACACGCAACACTTTCCTCCTGATGAGTAAATCATATCTGTCGTTAGACAGAGTAAAATAACAAAGTAGGGCAAATTGCGGCTTAATAGGTTTCTTTAGAACAAACATTGTCCTTGAACATTGTACTTGGAGCAAACAATTCTATGACTGAAGAGTTTTGGTGTTAATTTAATCATGACACAGGAGAATCGAGACAGGGTCTATCACCTTAGAGATGGTTAATCTGTCTACATTAACCCATCTAGGAATTGATTCCTGGTCAAACGCTGACCAGTGGTTTTAATCACCACCTCTCATCAACTTTGAACTGGTTTAAATTTTCATGGGATTTGATGAGACTTGACGAGAGTTTTTGCTCATTTGACCGGTACTTTCCAATCAACTCTTTTTTTATGATATTAGTATTTTACGATAGTAGTAACATATATATAGTGTATATCCAAAATTATTGATTTTGGGCTAAGGATAGAAACCTGTAGAGGCTTTTGGATTTAGAGTCTTTTAGACCCCAACTTTTATGAATTCTCATGCAACTCTTGTTCTCGTTTTGACTGAGACAGGAAATTTGAGAAAACTCTCATGCAAACTCTTGCTTGCCAACGCTCGTCAACTCTCATGCAACTCTTGTTCTCGTCTGACCGGCGAATGAGAATTGAGAAAACTCTCATGCAAACTCTCGTCCTCGCTTGACAAAGGCATTGTATAAACATTTCATTCTTCCGCCCAGACTTAGAACGTAATGTAAACAGACAAATTTAGTTCCCAGATCAAGACCAATTCTGAGAGCTGGAGTAATTAAGGTTACACACAAGTGTATATTTCCTGTCCATGTTACATAGCTTGTCTCAAAAAAACGATACTTTCAAAGAATAAATATTGAATACATGCGGCAACATGACAGAGGGGCACCATATACGCTTTCGATAGATCTATTGATTTACATAGAAGAAAAATAACCCAACCATACACTGCCCAAATAGAATCACTCAACTATAAGAGATTCCCCCTTAGAGAGCTCTGTCACTATACTAGATAAAAACAAAGATTAAAATAGTAGATGGCATCTATTTCTGTAATTTTGTGTTATTAACTTCTTTGTACAATATGCCCTTGAGGTCTGTAAGAAATGCATGGCTGAATATGTGTATTCAAAGACACTTTATGTAATGTAGCGGTATGTACCTATCGAGCATAATTTATTTGGCTGCAGTTTTCGGTGAAGTTCCGTTTCCTCGACTTGTAAAAAGTGCTTTGCAGCAGAAAACACAAAGTTATTTAAAACCTGCCATTTTTGGCATCACAATCCTGCTTAACGTCAACACTTGACGGTTTCAACTGATTAATGTTTGACCTAGAGGACCCTTGATGTGTTGATTTGAATTGTCTGGTGTAATATTACACTTGCACTATTTGTTTTAGAACTCAAGCAATATTCGGATGCCATAGACAGCTATCCCAGGGGGGAGGGGCTAAGCCTTAAAAATATTGAATATTCATTATTCTAAACATTGGTGTACATTTTGAAACACTGTTGATTCTACAAGTGAAATCGTCCCCCGGAACATATAACAAAAAGCTATTTCAAAGGCTATATTACCCCCATCAAAGCAAACTTCCACTCTCTGTACCCCTGTCAAGTTAGGAAATGCTATTATATCAGGGGGGGCTGCCTCAACCCCTTTTTACATATGTTATATATACTCAGTATGCAAACAATTTAATTCACATAATAAGCAATAAATATAAAATGACAATTAAAATAAAAAGCTGTACTTTAACAATTAAAACATTAATTTCATTTTAGTCCTTATTTTTTTCATAACATTTCGACAATTTGGCCGCCATTTTGATTTCTAGCCTATAGGCATTTAAATATTTTTATTTTGAAAACAACCAAGTATTAAAACCAAAATTGAATTAAAAATAGTGAAATAATAAACAAACAATTCTACAAGTTTACAAGGCCAGTCAAACAATGTTTTCACTTGTTAAAACGGGGGCAAACAGTTCCTTCATATATTTTGACTGGTATGGTAGTGTATAAAGGGGGAGCATCCATACCATACTCAACTTGCCACGAGAAACGTCAACTTGCCACGAGAAACGTCAATTTGACGTTCCTTTTTCATACCCACCCACCCACCCTAGAAACGTCAATCCGTGGCAAGAAGAAAACAAGTGTGAATACTCAAAAATACTTGCATTAACAAACATAACAAAATAAATCTAAAGCCTTGATTTACCGTCTGGCGAAGTAAGAAAGTTTGTTTGTTTAATAGTTATATATTTTCATTGACTTTGTGTTTTTAAAGTATGTTATTACAAATAGAATTTTATATTGTACAAAAGAATTTTATATATTTATACTTTTATACCACAGGCAAAACGTCAAAGAAAATAACCCCACACACCCACAAACGTCAAATTGACGTAATTTCTCGTGGCAAGTTGAGTATGGATGCTCCCCCTAAAGACCTATCTGCATCTTGTAAAAAACTGCCTTTTACCTTATCTAGTCGCCATTTTTTAACATCTTCGATGATCACAGCATGCTTCAAACTTTTTTTATAAAACAACTTTATTAAAAAAAGCTAAAAGCGAAGCAAAATCTTTCACCTTTGACCATTTTATACCATTTTCTCGGCTCGTTCTGACACAAAGTAGCTCAATGTTCCAATAGCCAATCAGAAAGCAGGATTTGACCGCAGTACAAGAAATTGCAAAATAAATTATTTTTTAACAACTTTTTACGGGTTTGTTTCGAGTAATATTGCGCAAATTTAAATTTTATGCTTTCAGTATAAAAGATATTGTAATGACTTTTTACAAATAGCTGTGTTTATCAAAACGAACTCTTTGTTTATACTGGATAGTTCTATCAGTTCTAAACTGTTCTCCCTAGAGGTCCAGTAAGGAAAAATCCTAAACTAACTTTATTTACACTTGATAGTTCTATCAGTTCTAAACTGTTCTCCCTAGAGCTCCAGTAAGAGTCATCTCTTATTGATCCAGTGTTACTACAGGAGGAAACCTAAACTAAACTAACTTTATATTTATACTAGATAGCTTTATCAGTTCTAAACTGTTCTCCCTTGAGGTCCAGTAAGAGTCATCTCTTATTGATCCAGTGTTACTACAGGAGAAAACCTAAACTAAACTAACTTTATTTATACTGGATAGCTCTATCAGTTCTAAACTGTTCTTCCTAGAGGTCCAGTAAGGATCATCTCTTATTGATCCAGTGTTACTACAGGAGGAAACCTAAACTAAACTAACTTTATTTATACTGGATAGTTCTATCGGTTCTAAACTGTTCTTCCTAGAGGTCCAGTAAGAGTCATCTCTTATTGATCCAGTGTTACTACAGGAGAAAACCTAAACTAAACTAACTTTATTTATACTGGATAGCTCTATCAGTTCTAAACTGTTCTCCCTTGAGGTCCAGTAAGAGTCATCTCTTATTGATCCAGTGTTACTACAGGAGAAAACCTAAACTAAACTAACTTTATTTATACTGGATAGCTCTATCAGTTCTAAACTGTTCTTCCTAGAGGTCCAGTAAGGATAATCTCTTATTGATCCAGTGTTACTACAGGAGAAAACCTATTAAACTAAACTAACTTTATTTATACTGGATAGCTCTATCAGTTCTAAACTGTTCTTCCTAGAGGTCCAGTAAGGATCATCTCTTATTGATCCAGTGTTACTACAGGAGGAAACCTAAACTAAACTAACTTTATTTATACTGGATAGCTCTAAGCCTCTATCAGTTCTAAACTGTTCTCCCTAGAGGGCCACCCTTATCAATGCAATGTTACTACTACAGGAGGAAACCTAAACTAAATTTCGATTTTAGTATGTTCTCTCTAGCTGTGGTGATTTATTTGTATCTCCTTGGCTAGTTTTAAAATTAGTCTATAATGGGAATTGTCTATTTCCACATACCGAAATCCTTTATCGAATCAATTTTAGGAGGAATTAGAAGCGAAAGCCCCCAGATTGTTATTACGAATCTCCAACGGTCAGATCAAGCAACCACTCGAATACGACAGTCCTGGATCGGACAGCGAAACCGACACGAGAGTGGAGAAGCATTGTGAAATATGTGGTGAAATAGTGGAGACGGAACATTTCCAACTTGCTGGCGAAAGATATTATTGTAGCTATGAATGTTTGGATGTGGACGCCAAGGATTCTAGAGATGATAGCGAGAGTGGTGAGAACGACGTGTTTTATACCAAGGTACGATGTCGGGCAGGTAGACACGTAAAATCTCGCAACTTGCCAACAAGATGTGTTCACAACAGGCTTGTAGCAAGCTCGTCAACAAGTTGTAACAATGCTGTTATTTTATCAAGTTGCTACAAGGTTGTCACTCACAATGTGTTGACAAATTGTTGAATTTCAGGACGATAACAAGTTGTTGGAACAACTTGTAACAAGTCTGTTGAGCTCAACAACCTTGTAGCGAGTTGTCAACAAGCCGTTGACAACTTGTCAATAAGCGTGAACACATCCTGTTGACAAGTTGTTGGAACAGCATTGGTACAAGTCTGCTGCAGATTTGTTACAACTTGTGCGTTTTTACGTCTGTAATGAGATACACAAGCAAAAATCTCACATTTTGTAGCAAGTCTGCCAATAAGCCGTCAACAAGTTGTGTTCGCACTGCTTATCCCAAGTTGTCAACAAGTATGGAACAACTTGTTAACAACTTGTAACAACCTTGTTGATATTATCAGACTTGTTGCAAGGTTACGTTGTTCCACCAAGTCCGAAACAGTCATGATGTAACAATATTGTTACAACCTTGTGTCGTCAATGTTTTTTTTATAATGTTGCAAACGGGAGTCAAATCCAAGACATTTGGATAGCACTATATATAGCTGTTGCTAATGCCGTAACAGAAAATACTATCAAAAATTGATGTTGTCTTGTTGGTTATATGTAGGATGATAAAGATTATATAATGGAAGACCAGAAAAGCAATCGTGAATTGAAAAGATCAGGCTCGTCAGGTGAGAAATTTTTAATTCTGATCGGCTGAAAGCAGTCCAGTGTTATTGTATTGCAATACTAACAAGTAATTTTCTGATGTGTTTTTTTTTTACAGCTTCAGCCCAGGAACTAATTGGGTGAGCACACTTTTTAAATTGGTTGTTTAAATAATACACAAGTTGTGACAAATCTGCAGCAGACTTGCAGTAATGCTGTTCCAACAACTTGTCAACAGGATGCGTTCGCACTGCTTGTTCCCAGCTTGTTGACAAATTGTCAATGGCTTGTTGACAACTTGCTACAAAGTTGTTCAGCTCAACAGACTTCTAACAAGTTGTTCCAACAACTTTGTTATCGTCCTGCGATTCAACAATTTGTCAACAATTTGTGAGTGACAACCTTGTAGCAACTTGATAAAATAACAGCATTGTTACAACTTGTTGACGAGCTTGCTACAAGCCTGTTGCGAACACATTTTGTTGACAACTTGTGAGATTTTTACATATGTAGATAATAGACTATAATTCGTCAGTTTACGAATCCTTCTTGTCTTTTCTTCAGCTGTGCCACGCCTGGTTGCGATGGTAAAGGTCATATTAACGGAAAGTTTGCCACGCACAGAAGGTGAGTGATTGAATTATTCCTTAATTGATTTCTAGCATTTATTCCAAAGTTTCGTTAATTGATTAATTCCTGTATTGATAAATTGATCGAATAATTGATACAAAACTGGTGATCGCGATTAGTTATTTCAAATGAATAAACACTATATTATATAATGATTGTGATCACTTTCACTGCTCCAGAATTACGGTCTGGCATGGTTCGGGAATATTCCGTATATTTGATTAGAGAACAACTGTAATTTTATCGTATCAATATTTTCTGAACATTTTTACAGCATTCAAGGCTGCCCGAACGTTCCCAAAGATGAAGAAAGAAAAGGTATGTTGTCTAAGTCATTATTTAGTCCTATTCTAATCCGTTTAGGATAAATTTATTTGCTTCAACATTATGAATGTATTAGGGAATAAAAGAATAAAGTTTTCACACTGAGACTCATCAGCTGGGTCATCGTGATTGATGTAAAATAGTCTGGATCTATCTTGTATTCTGCATATGCTGGATGTCAATCTTTACTGAATGCAGAGATATTTTGACACTATATTCCTTCGGCAACCTTTACATCATCGCGATCGTCACAATCACTGATGAGAACCAAGATATAATTATAAACACTGACAAACATTCTACATTTTGTTTTAGCTCAACTCAACTCTGGGGATCAGGATGACAAGTAAGTTAATCACAGGAAATTAGGTTTCAAATTTCATATATAAATGTTAATATATATTCTTATACGTTATTCTTCATTCCAGATCATTTCGACACTTCTTCTCACGATGTCCCACCAAAGGTTGTGATGGTACTGGACACAAGTCCGGTCTCTATGCCACGCACAGGAGGTAATCTCGTGCGTCATGAAGTATGATGGGTGCTTGCACGCAGTACCGTAGAGTAGTAGGGGGCTTTCTGTGTCAGCCTGTTCCAAGAATTAGTGGAAACAAAATCCCATACCTGTTAGTAAGAAGAATGAATTCATCTTGGCAAATTTCAGTTGGGGAGGGCCGTTTTTCATTTCATTTTCAAATTATTCTGATTCAAAATGTTTGGATCACTATGAAGATGATCTTTTCAGTTTGGTCAGGACAATTCTTTTCTTGACATCAATAGAAGGCTTTTCTACAGATATACTAAGTCTCAACTCACAGAGAGTAATTCGACACAGTGAAGTATGTAAAAATGACATACATCGTTAATCATGGGGAAGGTTTTAAGAGGTTGCGCGTCACCTCAGAAAATCCTGCACTTCTAGCAAGAACCAAGGTTATGAAACGAAGCGAAAAATGGCCATTATCATTTTCTAAAAGAAACTCTCTAATTTTTTCTGTAGTCTGTATGGATGTCCAAGAAGAACAGCGAAGAAAGGTACTGTACTTTTCTTTGACCACAATGGCGGTTTTGATCTGGATCTGGTCGCTTTTGATTACTAGTATATCATTGTCATTTAATGATTATCCATTTTTCTGTAATTTTTAGGATACAATTTTGTCATTGAAGGAGGCAGTTCATTGAAGTAAGTTTATGGTTTGCAGATTCGATTCCTGCCAGAAGGCCTACAGTTGTATTTTTCGCAACTGCTCCTGGTTGTAAGAGTCCGAAATTGCCATTTAGAAATCCTTTCTACAATAAGTTTGTTATTAGTGAGAGTTTCTTCTAAGAATGACCTTTCAATATCATTCTGACAATTGTTTTACCTCATTTCCCAGATGTCCAGTTCCTGGTTGTGACAGTTCAGGCCACAGAACTGGTCTGTATACTTCTCATAGAAGGTAAGGTTTTTCATCATGTCTTATTAGAAAGACGGGGTGCATATATCACCTTGGGAATATATTACACTTGGTGGAACAGTGTGCGACCGAGGTTTCATTCTTGCAAAGCACGTTTCCGTGTTAATTCAAGTTAATTCAAGAAACCTGATTATTTTTTCTTCAGAGCATCTGGTTGTCCTTTAGCAGCTGCAAGAAGACAATATGAACGACAGTTGTCACCTTCAGCGAGAACAAAACGAGGTGAACACTTAGACTTGTTTCATTCAACAACCTGGGTTGAATGTGCGATTATAAGAAATACTGACGATATCCAATGTGTTGATAACCCACACTGATAGCAGCTTTTCTGCAACTGAAATTGTTATCCTGTCATAAATATGTTCATCACTATCAGCATTATCATCATTATCATCATCATCATCACAATCATCATCAGCATCATCATCACCGTCACCTAAAATTCCCCTTTTTCTTCATCTTCTCCCGTCCATTTTCCGTCTACGATATCTTTAAGAAACCTAATCAATAAAAACAATATGTTCAATTCTTCTGATTTTATAATTCATCCCAATCTCTTTTCTCCTATGCTTTGAGATATTTGCATGGTTATATGCGAAGATTCAATGAACAAAACTGGCAAACGTGGAGAGGATTTTCCCTAGCATTCCAATCGTATCACGAATTTTTTTCCTGATATCTTGAATGAACTTTACACCGTTACTGAAATCAACTTTGAAAAGTCATTTGGGATGTTTATCAAAGTCATGATAAGAGCTTTATTAATTAAACGACTAATCCCGGTTAAGAGTGCCAGCCCAGCTCCATATGAACAGCCCATTAGAAGCATTCTTTTTTGGCATAGCGAACTAAAGATGTGTCGTTACAGGTCGTCGTCCCTCCATCCTAAAGATGGGTCAAGGTTTACTGCAAGACAGCCCGACCTCTCCTGACTCGGGCATTTCATCAGGTTCCAGTTTTGAAGAGATCCACTCGGCCAAGAAGGACTTCAACACTGGCTCGCCCAAGGAGAAAGTTCACTTCACATTTCCCCGACCGGCAGAAAACCTCCCAGGAATTCCATACCCTCCGACAATGGTCCGATCCAGTAATAGTATAGTCAGTTCTGCGTCTAGTGTCATAACTGCAAATACAGCTTCTATGGTGTCCAATACTGCCGTGTGGAATGTTGCGTATCCAAGTCAAGCTACCCCCACCGGGATCGCGACTAGTGTAGTGCAATCTCCACATATTAATCAAGAATCCAGGGGGGTGAAGTCAGACGAAGACGGGAAAGATCTGATGTGTTCTGATGAGGAGTTTTCTGACGAATCCAGCGGGTCTGAGGAATTCAATGAAGGTTTGTATCACATGCACTGAATCGATATAATTCGATGTACGCAATTTATGCTGTACGAACTCATCATTTTTGTTACATTTCAGTCATTGTATTTACACAAATCCTAATCTTAGAATCTTTATAGAATTTCTTAATTTGAAAAAAAAGAACGCTGCACCCACGATTTTTGCACGAAACCCTCAATAGAAATTTGATGGCCTTTTTCAAACTTCACTTTTTCATACTTAACTGCATGTTTTTCTTCTCAAAATTATACACCAAACCATGCTATTATGCTACTTATTTTCATATCGTTAACACGTTACTCTTTGTTACATTTTAGAGCAACAGCGACAACTGAGGTAAGTTGATGATACTATGTATGTCTCGGTCTAAACACTTAAAATGTTGGAGTTTTACCCATATACCTTATATACTATCACTCCACTAATGTATGTATATATACATACATGAACTTGTGATTAGAGCTCGACAACTGTCTCTCTGTAGCTCAGAGCGCTGCACCGGAATCACCGAGGGCTTACAAACATAACATCGTCTTCTTTATACCAGCTCTTGTGGTGACGTGGTCACTACGCTTGCCTTTCAAGCTGGGAGACCCTTCGGGTCTCTATTCAAGGTCTTAAAATAATTGAGGAGAAAGAGCTGCCTTTACATTGTCTTTTCGGAAACTCAATAAACGTTATGTTATTTCTGTAGCTTGCCAATATCAGTGAGGCGTGAAGTTTTAATGACAGACATTAAGAAGGAGCCTTCTGACCATATGCCACAAAACGAGTGCAACAATATGATTGGATTATCACCCAAGGGGTAATTATGACCTGACAAAATACGTGGTGTTTTCTCAGTATATTACAGTATTACACTAGTCCATACCATCAATCTATTACAATATACAATAAAATGTTAAGCCTTATTCTTCGTCATTAATAACACAAAAAAATATACAATAAATCACACATTTTCACTATTCTTTTTCAGAATGCCCAGTACTTCAGCGGACATTGGACCTCGGCTGACTGGTAAGACTTAATCTGCATTACGTAACTTTTTCTATTTAAAAATTACAATGCAGTGGAATGTAATGTACTACATTGTAATACAATACAATGCAATACAGTGGCAGTAGAATGCAATATTTGGCACGTGTAGTACATACTGATTTTTATTTCATTTTCCCCCTTAGAACACACAGAAATAAGGTAAGAATTTCCAGTGTTTTTAAAATTTAAATATGTATTAAAAGTATGGGTAAAGCGACTGTAAATTCGAGGAAATATTGTATTTGAATGACGTCATCATCATCACCATGACGTCATCATCATTTCCATGATGTCATCATCATCATTGTATTTGTTTTCCAGATGTCCCACAGTGGGATGTGATGGTACAGGTCACGTGACAGGACGTTTTGCCTCCCATCGTAGGTGAGTGTAGGGTATATGGTTGTTCATGCGTGCTGTCAGGCGCTAGTCGTAAAATATTTTACCTAAACTTCAATCCTATAGTTTAAAGAGTACTTTTGACGTATTAACAAATCATTTGTTTATCAGTCTTTCAGGCTGTCCACTTGCCCCCAAGGCTGCACCAGTCAAGGCTGAAACAGGTAAATATATGATAACAGAAAGCTGTGATGTGAAAGGATATACAACTACCCAAAAATATAAGCAGAATTTCGACGTTTTGAGCGAAGGCCCTTCGTCAGCCTGCGTGTCAGGCCTGTGGGTTAATCTCTGATGATTGTGATAACCCATAATTCATAAAAGTCCAAATGCGCCCTATTTTGTTGTTTTCGTTATCTAACATCAGACAATTTTACTCATCCAGTAATGGTCTCAAAGCTTTACATATGTTCAATGCACATATGTTGGACATTTGCTTATACAACTAAGAATACTTTATCTTTTTTTTCTATAGAAAGCAACAATCCTGAGAAAGCATTGTGAGTATATAAAAGCACTCCTTGCATTGCGATCCTCTCTTAATATAACTATTAACATATTTTTTACGTTTTATTACACAGATGTCCGACACCTGGTTGCGATGGCTCGGGTCATGTGACAGGTCAATTTCAGTCACACAGAAGGTAAATATACCAAAAAAATGTAATTGACATCATGTGCGAACATGATTTATGACATTATATTTCGAGGTAAACTGCGCACTTACAATTAATCTAAATTATCATCATCTTACCAACTAATCAATTTATCAACTTACTACGGTACTAATTAACTAATCTTGTTATTTGTGTAGTTTATCCGGATGTCCGCGCGTCTCGGTTGAAACCAAGAAAGAACTGATGCGACGCGAAGTGGAAATCAAGCTAGCATGTGGTGATAATGCTCCTGAAGTTGGTCCTAAACCTATCAAAATGCAAGCTGGACAACGTAAGTTCAATTATGAATTATCCGTTACACATCGTTGAGGTACTGATATTACCATACTCTTATTACCATAAGAAACGTTGAACGAAGATACTCCATGCCATTGACCCCTTACAGACCAGATGGTGGTCAATTTTAAAAAGGATGAAAAACCTTCGAAAACATAATTTCAATTCAAAACATCACAGAAACGTTTTTACTGTAAATCTGCCTTTACCAAAAATAGAGACGGTTCAAACAATGCAATGATACGTTGGGGATAGGTTATAATTAACACGTTGGTTTCAACCAAGGGACCTCGAATAAATTTTTCTTTGATTGAACACTAAGTATATACTAATTAATTCTAATTGTACGCTAATTATTATCTCACGCTAATTACCTATTACGTATTCTAATAACATCTGATACATACATACAAGGTGTTCCAACCCCCAAACTATTGAAATAACGTATTGTTAAAATTTGAATGCCCTAGCACTAAGTTGACTTATAAAGAAATTAAAATATGTTTGTATTATTATGTTTGTATAAAATATACGATTTTCTGTTCTTGTGAATTTAAAGCAGTTCTTTATGCATAAAATTTACTTATGTAAAGCTTTTATACACTTGTGGGTTCAACATAGTGCCAAGGCATTCAAATTCTAACAATACGTTATTTCAATAGTTTCGGGTTTTTTGGGACACCCTGTTTAATTACTGTAATTATTACTTAAATTATAAGCATGCTAATTAGTATGCTAATTAGCACTAATTAGACAATTGTTGGTAATTATCAGAATGCTACATCACACGAATAGAGCGTTAATGATTTCTTATCTCCTTATACAGACATCGACAAAGTGCGAGAAATCGAAAATTTAGACAAAGAAATTCGCATACTCCAGGCGACGAATGATCAATGTACGAAAGAAAACTTTGAGCTCGGAAGATCCGTTTCAGAGATGGAAAATCAATTGAAATCAAGCGAAGATGAAATGAACGAGGCCCAGACAAGTCATGGTATTACACGCACTAAACTAGTCGTACTACAAACTAAATTCATTGCCAGTTTATCAAGTGTCATCCATAATATTAGCGGAGGCGGTAACCTGAATTACGACACATTTGAAAGCTGTATGGAGCTACTCAGTGAGCTGTTTTCTCAACCACAACAGAACGCGGTTGCTATACGCCAAGTCAAGGAAGCATTGAGTGATTTTAATATTTAGATGTTTTATTCGGTTTTATCCTTTTTGAATAGAGGCAAACTCAGGACATTTAAAAACCGTACGGTTAATTAGCTCGGTCGATCACATTGAACTCGGCTGATCGACACATTTTTAGCGATTGTTCTAGACAATTAGTTCAACAGCATTAATCACAGAAGAGAATTGTTTGCATAGCAAATGAAGTTTAACGAGTGAAAAATAAATTTCAAGTTGCTATGGAATCACGTCTCTTCATGAGTTTACGTATTAATATAGAAGTAGTTTCACAGAATAGCGTACTCATTTAACAGGTGGGCGATGGTCAATACATTAAACTGTACAAATACGATATAACCATATAAACTTTTCCAAATTAACTACGGTTCAAATGCAGATATGATGACAATGAGTGAAAGGGGTGGACGACAGCGAGTTTACAAGATAGCTCCAAACTTAAACTTGGAGTTTGCTTCAGTGTTCCACCACAATCCGTATCGTAGCATTTTCTTTTGTGTATAGAAGTCCTTAGTTCCACTCCAGTGCTCAGGAAATAATTAAATACGCTTCGGTACGATATGGTTGAAGTGGAAAATGGTTTTTATGATTGGAGTAGGGGTTTTAGGATTGTTTCAAGTGATTGCTTGTTGAGTTCTTCAACAATTGTTGTGAAAACAAGCCGCTATCTTGAAAATCTCCCTTTCGTCCATCCCTTTTAGCAATGAGTCAGAGACCTCAGAATTGATCGACTTTGACAATCGATGACGGACAACCACCTTTCACGAAACGCCACTTTCGCGCTCTCGTTACAATCAATCCAGCAAATATGAAAATGATCATGAATTTTGGACATCTTTGCGCGATATAAAATTGAATTTAGACGAGTGTGTAGTTGTAGACCTAAACGTGACGAATGTTTGCTTGGCCTGGGAGCCTTGCTCTCATGAACGAAGACGAAAGGCAATTCGTTCATGGTTCATGTGAAATGGGGCTTCCTAGACTAGAGAGATCGGCGATGTAATAGACTACTAATTTGGCTACATCGATGCCAAGTTACAACTTTAGAGAACACACATGCCTAGGTATTACTGTTCTAGTTACAAGGCATAGAATAGAACAAAGGTGACTAAGGATTATAATTATGTACAACAGTTATTCATGTAGACATTACACCCTTTCACAACTACACGGTTTTCAACTTAGGACCACCTTAAATGGAAAGGATTTCAAGTTTTTTCCTCATGGGCTATGGTCAGAGAAGCAGAACATCCTTCTTCAACACATGCATGAACAAAATTGTGGATTTTGATCAATAAATATGGAAATAATAAATATGAAGGATGTTCTGCTTCTCTGTGCATAGCCCATGAGAAAAAAACTTGAAATCCTTTCCATTTAAGGTGGTCTTAAGTTGAAAACAGTATAGTTGTGACGTAATTATAGATAAAGGGTGTATTCTGTAAAGCTTAGGCCTGTTTCATACGTCGAATTTCGGTCGCGTCGATAGCAATTCAAACAATAGATAATGAAGCTTATCTCATTATCTATTGTCTTAATTACATTCGACGCGACCAAAATTCGACGTATGAAACAGGCCTTGGTTACCTTGTTTTATTCTATGCTATTGGAACAATAGTAACTAGGCGAGTTGTGAATTGGGTACAAATAAACCTCATCCAAATTTGTAATTTTTACCAAATTACCATTGGTTGTCTAGTTGATGAAATCAATTGTTACGATTTAATTTATTCAATACGATCAATCGATGTGATCAATTAATCCGTGTCTAACGGATAGAGAAAGAAATCTGGTCGGTACCTACCTATATGAACAGGCTTTGCGATTGGTTGATCGTAACAATAAAAGACAAACTTTAGAAGTCGTATGTCTGAAGAACCAATTTTAAACAATGATCACGTTTCGGAAAACCAATTACAAAGTGTGTTCATATTACTGAAGTTGGTGCATACCGATCAAATCGCATTGTCACATGTATGTATGTAATTAGTCTTAGATTATAAAACTTTACATCGGTTGAAATTGATATTTCAATACGGAATACGGACAATGTGAAAATGTTTTCGCACACAGAAACAAAACTATTTATGACAGTTAGGTTAAACAGTAGTGAACTCTTTAATCTACTGCTATCTTTGTAAAAATCTCACGACATTAAACATACAAAGCCTTCGACCTGTCATGTAAAGTAAATTTTAAATATATATATACGTATTGTTAGCATGCGTTTTAGCATGTGTAAAGCCAATTGGCAATTTTATTCTAATAAACATATTCTACAAGGGGTTTTGTTGTTGGAACCTGGAACTTTAGACCTAACCAGAGCAGTGAAAAAATGCAACTTATATAGGTCCTCGATCGGGCAGGAATCAAATCTGCGGATATAACCAATTTTCGGACTGCGTTTTATTTCATAAATATTTTCAACTAACGTTCAATACAATCGAAGTTAATTGATCATTGTGTAAGTTTTGGAAACTTTATTGCATGCAAAGTAAATCCCAAATGGAAGGGGGGGGGGGTGCCTGTAACATAATAGGTGTGCTAGTAAAAGGTTGTCAAGCAGGACTACAGACTAACGCCTTGCTGCCATAGTTCCATGCACCTACTCGATGACCACTCCCTCCCCATACCACATCTGCACTCCTTCCAACTACACACCTGCGACCCTCTCCTCATCAACTCTGTTTCCCTACCTCATCTGCAGCCCCTCTCCCCACCAAATCGCATCCGTCCCCTACCAAATCTGCAACCCCACCACATCTCTACCCCCTCCCCCTACACATCGGACTGGAACCATCCCTGGTGTGATTTTTTACCTCTGAACTCTATACAACCATAGGTTTGAAGAGCTTCTATCACAGAATAAAGATCAGTAACAGAAAGGCCACTCAGCGGTGCAACGTGTCCTCGTTTTTTTATGCAAAAATATGCAGTTTACTGGCCAGAAGGCGGAGCAGCCAGCCAGTACAGCGTGTTTATTGGCCAGAAAATGTCATTGACTGGCTAGGAAAATGGCGGTCAACATGCGTAATGCGACATGCGCGAGGACAGAAACGTCAAAGCTTCCGACGTAAGCGGCCCTTCTATATGGATCTTTATTCTATGGCTTCTATATTACCCGCCATTTTGAAGTACTTATGTATTGGGACATTTGCTCCGTCTTGATCAAGCGATCCTCGCAAATTTCCTCGCGCATTCACAGTTGAGGTGTTCACGACTTTGCAAGGATCGCATACACGCGCATATAAATTGAAAATCTCTCACGATTCTTTGAAAGGATGATACACAAAAAAAAGCTGGAAAAATCTTTCATATTAAGCATTTCATACAAACGTAAAATTTTCACAAAAATGATGCGAGTAAAAATAAAAAAAATAACGTGACACATTTTCCAAGTAAAAGCAATACGATTTCACACAAACATAGAGTAATAATCTATAATAATAGTATAATGGATGTTATGGTAAGCTTGCGGAAACACATCGTGTTGTGAGCATGCGCACGATCTGCGATAGATGGCCCAGTTGGTTCTATTGCAAAAAAGCAAACTTTCGGAGTTGATCATAAATCGACGAAAGCACTTTGATAGCTGTAAAGCAACCATTTTCACACAATAGTAAAAGTTTTCAGATTAAAAAAAGAACTGCGCGGATAAAATTTTTCAAAATATAGACTCTTACGCACGAATTTAAAAACGGAATTTCACACTATGGAAAGGCCATTAAAATCGTACAGCAAGATCTTACGGCCATGTTGTTTTCTCCACAGACTCTTGCGGCCTTCGTTTAACGTGAAACTCGAAAAAGAAATGAAAACGAGCACTAACTATCACGTGACGAATCTTGCGTCGAAGGGACATCATCTTTTGTAACTTTGTACATCGTTGCGAAGTAATCGGTATTGTTCGCTTTCTCTTTAAGTGCTGCATTCTCTTCTTTCAACTTTTCAATCATTTCATACAACTGAAAGAAAAAATGACAAGGCATATTGTAACATATATACTGGAGAGGGGGAGGTAGGGTTTCCACTCTATTCAAGGACTTTTCAAGGACGTTTCCCAGTAAATCCAAGGAGCTAAAAGCTGGATAAACCTTTGAAAATGGCACTGATAGTATTATCAGCACAATTGCCAATTGGAAAGAAATTCGAGGACTTTCAAGGACCAGCACGAACTGTCAAGCACTTTTTCTTCTTCTGACAAATGTGAATGAGTAGAGGAGTTACGAATGTTCCGAGTGTGTGTTACCCTCATCTGCACATTCATAACTCAATAAACTCATCCCCTCGTTCACATCCATCAGAAGGAGATCACAGCAAAACTTGCAAGTTTAAACAGGTCTTAAAAATCAGCCAACAAACCTTCATGTTTTCCTCAAGAGTTTCTTCCAGCGCTTTTCGACGTTCTTCTGCTACTAGTTCCCAGTACCGCTCTGGGGCTGGGACTGAAACAGGGAAGAAATTACATCGTACAACTCAATGATGGTCAAGCGACAGTGTAGGTATAGTATTCTACGATAAGCTGTTGTTGTGGTGGTCCAGTGTAGGTAATATTGTACAATAAGCCGCCATGGTTTGTGTCTGAACTACCTGAAAAAGATATCTCAAACGTGGTGGTCCAGTGTAGGTAGCATAGATTAGGAAATGAATAGATGGCTCACTCCTTTGATGTTTTTGACGCTGCCGGCACCCACGCATGTTCTTGCCAGAGTAATGGCGGCCTAGCAAGTAACTTTAGTAAAATGCATTGTAAAATTGACATCGGTTCTACTAAATCCTTTATTTTTATAATTCTGATTTATTTTGCCATTAAACCCCACGAAAGCGGAAAAATACAGGATTTAGTAGCATGGATATCAATTTCACAATACATTTTATTATAGTTCTTGCTAGGCCGCCATTACTCTGGCAAGAACATGCGTGGGTGCCGGCAGCGTCAAAAACATCAAAGGAGTGAGCCATCTATTCATTTCTTAATCTATGGTAGGTAGTATTCTGCGATAAGCTGTCGTGGTTTGTGTCTGAACTACCTGAAAAAGATATCTCAAACATGGTGGTCCAGTGTAGGTAGTATTCTACAATAAGCTGCCTTGGTTTGTGTCTGAACTACCTGAAAAAGATATCTCAAACGTGGTGGTCCAGTGTAGGTAGTATTCTGCGATAAGCTGTCATGGTTTGTGTCTGAACTACCTAAAAAAATCTGTCAAACGTGGTGGTCTAGTGTAGGTAGTATTCTGCGATAAGCTGTCATGGTTTGTGTCTGAACTACCTAAAAAAATCTGTCAAACGTGGTGGTCCAGTGTAGGTAGTATTCTGCGATAAGCTGTCATGGTTTGTGTCTGAACTACCTAAAAAAATCTGTCAAACGTGGTGGTCTAGTGTAGGTAGTATTCTGCGATAAGCTGTCATGGTTTGTGTCTGAACTACCTAAAAAAATCTGTCAAACGTGGTGGTCCAGTGTAGGTAGTATTCTGCGATAAGCTGTCATGGTTTGTGTCTGAACTACCTAAAAAAATCTGTCAAACGTGGTGGTCTAGTGTAGGTAGTATTCTGCGATAAGCTGTCATGGTTTGTGTCTGAACTACCTAAAAAAATCTGTCAAACGTGGTGGTCCAGTGTAGGTAGTATTCTGCGATAAGCTGTCATGGTTTGTGTCTGAACTACCTAAAAAAATCTGTCAAACGTGGTGGTCTAGTGTAGGTAGTATTCTGCGATAAGCTGTCATGGTTTGTGTCTGAACTACCTAAAAAAATCTGTCAAACGTGGTGGTCCAGTGTAGGTAGTATTCTGCGATAAGCTGTCATGGTTTGTGTCTGAACTACCTAAAAAAATCTGTCAAACGTGGTGGTCTAGTGTAGGTAGTATTCTGCGATAAGCTGTCATGGTTTGTGTCTGAACTACCTAAAAAAATCTGTCAAACGTGGTGGTCCAGTGTAGGTAGTATTCTGCGATAAGCTGTCATGGTTTGTGTCTGAACTACCTAAAAAAATCTGTCAAACGTGGTGGTCTAGTGTAGGTAGTATTCTGCGATAAGCTGTCGTGGTTTGTGTCTGAACTACAGGGTACCTGAATAAGATATCTCACATGGTGGTCTAGTGTAGGTAGTATTCTACAATAAGCTGTCTGAGTTTGTGTCTGAACTACAGGGTACTTGAATAAAATATCTCACGTGGTGGTCTAGTGTAGGTAGTTATTAATTCTACAATAAACTGTCATGGTTTTTGTCTGAACTACCTGAAAGATATTTTAAGTATAGGAAGTGTTTTATACAAGTTCCTACCTTGCACCATCAATGCATAAGCGTCATCTGAAGATGGAGGCATTTCGGACTTTACAGGAACAGATGTTGTGGTACTTTCAACTTCTGAAGAACTGGACTGAGTTTTGTCGACTTCATCCGATGACTTGGTTAGATAATGTTTAAGTTTCGTTTGACTTGATGACGAAGCACGTTTTTGCTGTGCTTTACTCTACAATAAAAACATACCCATATAATTATTCATTATTGCAGGAATGCAATAATGCCAAAAACTTGAGTAAGTGAATATATTACAAAGGCTGATAGCTCAGTCGGTAGAGCATTCATTTGGAGATAGAGGCTACGTTTACAGTATACCGGATAGCACCTATCTGTTGCAATAATTCCTCTGAAAATATTCTTGCCTTTGTTTTAGATCTCTGACTGTTTGTTCCACCAACAAGAAGCCTTTGACCATCAGCAGAGGGTTGAAGAACTTGCAGAGACTTTCGCTGCTCTCGTCCTTCAAATAATGACAGGCTCGACGAGGAGGAGTCATCAGATTTGGCCTGAAACAAACATGTTTTAGTATCGACAGTGATTTATATATGTTAAATATTACAGAACATAGATGGAAAAAAAGGCAATCATAGAACTCATGTCAGATGCTTTCATAGAACTAAAATGTCAGAGTCATGAGAGGTTTTGCTCCACCAGCTTGTAAAGTTTTGGCTTTGCAGGAAATTGAAGTTCTGCGCAAAATATTGTCTGATATATTTTGATCAGTAAAAATATCCCAATGCAAGTTTAGACTGAGCGATGGTAGACATGGTAGTCAAAGTCAAGACTCAACTCACTTAAAGTCTCAAGAACACTCGCATTTATGTAATCTCATATTGGGTCATTCCATTTATTATCCGCACCCCCCCTATGGATGAGCTCTGGTAAAAATGTTACCTGTAGGAATCGGATTTCAGAGAAGTACCCTGTTGGAATCGACAGTATCAATCTAAACCCTACGAATGCTGCTAATTGCCAATATCTCACTGGTAGGAATCTGCTAATTGCCAATATCTCACCGGTAGGAATCTGCTAATTCCCAATGTCAGACCGGGGGGGGGGGTGAGAATAATAAATGAAATTATTATGATTCTCAGAGTATGATTCTCATAATAAATATTTGGCAATATAGTATGCTACACCTTGACGGCAATATCTGACCGGTAGGAATCGGGCCAAAGGAATCTGTTAATTCCCAATATCTGACCAGTAGGAATCCCCTAAGTCCTAATATCTGACCGGTAGGAATCCGCTCATCCATAGGGGGGGTGCGGATAATAAATGGAATGACCCATTCTCATGCAAACTCTCCCTTCCCAAATCACATCTTTGTTTAAACAAGGCAATATATTTACTGACTTGGCTTTTATTCCGTGCTTGTAATGTAAAACGATTGCTTCTGACGAGAAACTACAAAGCTTGTTTGTTCCGCGTGGGTTTATGAATACCTTTGTCTCCTTCGACAGCGACTTTGATATCTTGCTATTTTCGTCTGAGTTCCCACTGTTTTTCGCAGGCATTCTTGGCGAGTGCACAAGTTTTGTTGCCTTAGGTTGCTCTCTCATGTTTTCTGCGAGTGTAGAACTTGAATAGGATAAGTTATCTTCTCTCTTCGTCCTTCCACAATCGGATTCTTGTCGAAAATGCGAGATGTTGATTTCGGCCATCTTTTTAAACCGTCCCGCGCGAAACCGCCATTGCCGTCGGGGCAACTTCGGCGCACGACTACTCGTCGGCAAGTAACGTCAGTTTCCATATTAGGAATAACTCGGGTTTGTTACATTTCTTTGTTACAAGTCTTTTGTCGCGTCATATGACTGTCTGCGACATTATTTAGCTCGTTTTTATCATATTTTTATGCCAAAATAACTCGGCTATAAGAAAAGTATATTATAAAGATTTAGAAAGCAGAGATTCAAGAGTTCAACTGCGTCACATTTTTCATCGAAGTTTGGCCGCACGAGCGACGGTGTCAGAAAAAAGCCATGTCTGTGAAATGTGAGTTCTGTGACAAGATATTTTCATCCAGAGGCGTTTTGGTAAGGCATATAAAACGAACGCATCCTGGAGACAAGCCTTATGACTGTGATGTTTGCAACATGAGATTTACTCAAATGGGCGATTTAAGGACCCATAAAAGAACACACACGGAAGACAAGTCTTATGAGTGTGACGTTTGCAAGAAAAAATTCGTTCGATTGCACCTTAAGACGCAACATGAAAGAATACACACTGGAGACAAGCCTTATGAATGTGACGTTTGCAAGAAAAGATTTATCCAAAAGAGTAATTTGCAGAGACATGAAAGAACACATACTGGATACAAGTCTCGCGGGTATGAATGCGATGTTTGCGAAAGGCGATTTGATCAAATTTGCTACTTAAGGATACATAAAAGAACACATACGGGTGAGAAGCCTTATGAATGCGATGTTTGCAACAAAAGATTCGCTCGACCGGCTAATTTAAGGTCACATCAAGCAACACACACTGGAGAGAAACCTTATGAATGTGATGTTTGCAACAAGAGATTTTCTCAAATGGGCCATTTAAGGAAACATAAACGAACACATACTGGAGAGAAACCTTATGAATGTGATGTTTGCAACAAACGATTTTCAGATTCAAGTTCGCTTCCTAAACATAAGAGAACACACACTGGAGACAAACCTTATGAATGTGATGTTTGCAACAGAAGATTTTCAGATTCAAGTAAATTGACTAGACATAAAAGAACACATACTGGAGATAAACCTTATGATTGTGATGTTTGCAACAAAAAATTTTCAGATCCAAGTTCTTTTTCTAAACATAAAAGAACACACACTGGAGACAAACCTTTTGAATGTGATGTTTGCAACAGAAGATTTTCATATACAAGTAATTTAGCTGTACATAAAAGAACACACACTGGAGATAAGCCTTATGAATGTGATGTCTGCAACAAAAGATTCTCACGTTCAGGTAATTTAGCTAAACATAAACGAACACACACTGGACACAAGCCTTATGAATGCGATGTTTGCAAAAAGAGATTTTCTCAAAAGAGTTGTATAAAGACACATAAAAGAATACACACTGGAGACAAGCCTTATGAATGCGATGTTTGCAATAAAAGATTTGGTCGATTGGATTATTTGAGGACACATAAAAGAACACACACTGGAGACAAGCCTTATGAATGTGATGTTTGCAATAAAAAATTTTCACAATCCAGCTACTTAGCAACACATAAAATACAAGTGCACAAGAAGAACAAGAGTTTTGAGTGTGCTGTATGCAAGAAGATATTCACACAACGGCAAAGTCTCAAACGTCACAGAAGTGATCATTTGAAAGATGGCTTGCTGTTGTGCAACATGTGTGGCATAGAAATTAATCAACTAGAAGGACATGCTAATGAGATGCCCAGCAGCAGTCATTACAGTTGTGATAAATGCAACAAAGAATTCCCTGAACTTCTGGGCTTGACACAACACAAGGTGAAAGACCATGGTACCAGCTACCAGTGCAATGTCTGTCAAGAGTTAGAGGCACAAGAAGCAACTGGTATTGGATACATTTGTTGTATTTGTGATACTGAGTTTGACATTGCGACTGAACTTGAAAGTCATATGAAGACCCATGACAATACTTCGGGAGATATCTTGTTTTGAATTATTGAAAGTCCTTTTGAAATTGATTTGAGATTGTTTTAAAATTGATTGAACTGTTTTAAGATTGTTTTGAAATTTGTCTTGATGCAGTATAAACATATGACATATTGAAAACGACGTTGACATTTCAGTGAGGATTGCTAATTTTGACACATTCATTAACTATTTTAAAAAATTAAGACAATATTATTTAGGATCATTTTGCAACACACAAGTTCGGTTGTCAACTCAGTGATAGGATTGAAAGAGTTCAACGAAGAGCCACAAAATGGACTCTAAGAACCAGGACTTGTGAATTGCCATACAACTAATGACTGTTAAAGTTGGAACTCTTACCACTCTCCTACGATAGAGAGATGTCATATTTTTCTTCAAGGCATTGTATGGTACATCGATCTTAACATTAACAATCACATTGCCTTTATTCATCATGGACATTAACTCGACTCAGCCAAGCCATGCACTGGTGTAATGCTTCAGACTCCCATGTGCAGGACTGCTATGTTTCAATCTTCCTATTTCAACCTCCGTATTGTCAAACCGTGGAACAGTGTATGTGAAGATATCAATCCAGATACATCTTCTAGGCCTATCTCTTTCAAAAAATTTCTTAAATGCAGATACACAGATATTTAGAACTTTTACGCTCAGTATACGATTTCGAACTATCCTGTACTTTGTCCTTGGTGCGTGACTGTCCTCAGGCGTTAAAATACGGAATTTTTACAAGGACACACTTTGCCTTCAGAGGCATATTTTTGGTATAAATGCGCAGACTCACGAGAACGAGTGGCGAAGCCACAAGTTTAGCGTAAAAGAAGTTAGCTTTTAAGGGGGTCTCTGAAATGGCATTTCCAGAGTTCTGAGAACAGAATTCGCAAAATCTTTGGCCATTTTGCGTGGATTACAGTTTAATATATTTTCAAGTACACACTTTTCAATTTACAAGGGCACATTCACCTTTTACAAGGACACAAAGTGTGTACAAGGACACGCTATTTTAATGCCTGACTGTCCTTGTCACAGAGAATAGCAAAGATAAATGCCATTTATAATGCATGTTTTAAAATAGTGTATCTTTAAGTGTTTGTGTGTAACCTGTCTGTGTGTGTTTTGTGTGTGAGCATGCATATGTGTCATATGTATATATAATAGTACATATAATAAAATAATTGAACAGCGGGTGCTTGCATGGGAACTTTTGAAGAATCCTGTTCGCCCCTTGCCTTTTTTAGATCGTGGCAATGTGCCCCGAGTTTGGCAGGGCGCAATGCACCTGTATGTGTCCTGGATTGACATATTTCGCTTTTTTGCATGTTTGTATATAGATTGACCAAAATAAATTTGTCAAATTTTGACTTTATAGCTGTTAATTGGGTTATGTGTTGTGTTTTGTTAAAATACTTCTTTTAAGCCCCCTCTCAAATAAGTCCCCTCTCCAATATGCCTGCTGCTTTCCAAGGACATGATTTATCAAGCCCCCCTTCTATTAAAGCCCACCCCTTCACATGAAAGACATGTGTACTGGGGGGGGGGGGAGGAAGACGATGTATGACACCATCAAGATATGAGTGGTCCTCACACCTTTGGCGTTTCCAACGACGCCAATTGTTACCCCAAGGAAATTTTTAAATCTGAGGCCTTTCAGACAGGGGAACCACTAGGGGGGTGGAACACCCCTCACCCATGAACAAAGTCAGCAAATTGTTGGCTTTGTTGCATTCAGTGCGAAATGTTGTAAAATGCGGATAATATAGCCCTGCGAAGTTTGCCGTTTTTCAATCATTTTGTATTACGCACGGGACAATTATTGATACCGCTTTTTGAAAAAAGTATCAATTTCCCGTGCAAAATACAAAATGACTGAAATTCTGAAAAACGGCAAACTTCGCAGTGCTATATTATCCGCATTTTACAACATTTCGCAACGAAACTTCGGAATATTACTAATTTTGTGATGCTCTTTCAAGCTGTGATGAAATTTTTATCTAGATCAAAATTTTGTTGATAAGTAATAGCCGTAACAGGTCCACATTTCACACTCAATCTCGTTCCCAGAGCATGCCCGTTCGCAGGTTAGGATTGTCCTACAGCTTCAATAATCGAGAATTTGCTTTTGCATAGTGGAAGCACCACTTCAAGAGCTTCCGGCTTCCGCCCAGTGCTTCCATTTTCAAGGAAATTTCCTTTTCTAAGGAAATTCTATGGTCGAAAAGGAAAATCTAAGGAAGAGAAAAAATCTAAGGAAATCTAAGGATTTTTCCAAAAACCTTAAATATTCATCCAAGTGCATTGGTGCAGAAGAAGGTTTCACCATTTTTTTTATTATTGAGTGAATTATCAATTACGTTTAATTAAAAATCTGTTTATAACTTTTTCTTCGTGTCTCCGAAAACGTAGGAAAGTTTTTGAGCGATGGGATTTAGTAACTTTTGGCGCCAAACACTTTGAATAGTTAATTAATTATATCAGTGGAAACTTTATGTTGTAAACTCATAACAAATATTTAATATTTAAATAGTACTGAATAGCCTGTGTTTTTTAGCTAGCCCACATCTGTGTTAATTGTGCTATTTTGTGCCTTTAAAATTAATTAAATCCTTTGTATTGCTACAAAATCACTGCGAACTGCTTAATAAAATTTCAAGGAAATTTCAAGGAAATAACGTATACAATCTAAGGAATTTAGAGAAATTTTGATGACAAAAATGAGAAATTTTGATTTTGAAAATGGAAGCACTGCTTCCGCCGTTTCGCGCTAGCTATATTTTCATACGTGTGGTGTTCTGAACTGTAACTTTATTTAGCTCGTTTTTATGCCAAAATAACTCGGATATAAGAAAAGTATTATCAAGATTTAAAAAGCAAAGATTCAAGGCTTCAATTGGGTGATATTTTTCATCGAAGTTTGGCCGCACGAGCGACGGTGTCAGAGAAAAGCCATGCCCATGAAATGTGAGTTCTGTGACAAGGTATTTTCATTCAGAGGCCTTTTGCTAACGCATGAAAGAAAACACACTGGAGAGAAACCTTATGAATGTGATGTTTGCAACAAGAGATGTTCTCAAATGGGCCATTTAAGGATACATAAAAGGACACACACTGGAGACAAGCATTATGAATGCGATGTTTGCAACAAGAGATTTTCAGATCCAAGTTCGCTTTCTAGACATGAAAGAACACACACTGGAGAGAAACCTTATGAATGTGATGTTTGCAACCAACGATTTTCAGATCCAAGTTCGCTTTCTAACCATAAAAGAACACACACCAAAGAAAAACCTCATGAATGTGATGTTTGCAATAAGAGATTTTCTCTAATGGGCAATTTAAGGAAACATAAAAAATTACATACTGGAGACAAGCCTTATGAATGTGACGTTTGCAACAAGAGATTTTCTCAAATGGGCAATTTAAGGATACATAAGAGAAAACATACTGGAGACAAACCTTATGAATGTGATGTTTGCAAGAAGAGATTTTTTGAAATGGGCAATTTAAGGATACATAAAAGAAAACACACTGGAGAGAAGCCTTATGAATGTGATGTTTGCAACAAGAGATTTTCTCAAATGGGCCATTTAAGGAAGCATAAAAGATTACATACTGGAGACAAGCCTTTCACATCCAAGATTTTCACATCCAAGTAGTTTAGCTCAACATAAAATAACACACAGTGTCCAGAGACAAATCTTATGAATGTGATGTTTGCAACAAAAGATGTTTAGCTTCAAGTAGTTTATGTAAACATAAAAGAACACACACTGGAGAAAACATTGACATTGCAACTGAACTTGAAAGTCATATGAAGACCATGACTGAACTTGAAAGTCTATAAATTAGACCCATGACAATGTGTTCTCAGACTAAGCTGGATTTGAAACTGTTTTAAAATGTTTTGAAATTTGTCTTGATGCAGTATAAAGTATTACATACTGAAAATTATGTTGATATTTCAGTGAAGATTGTTAATTTTGACACATAAATTAGCTTTATTGATTAAGATAGTTTTTAATTAGGATCATTTTGACTTTAGCTGTTAATTGGGTTATTTTATTGTGTTTGGTTGTAATAAACTGTGATTGGAATAAAATTATATCCAACTTTGTCATGACATATTGTAATATTTATTTAGAAATTTGGAATATTTACAGCAGTTTAAACCATGACATGTTTGTGCATAAATAATTAGATCTTTATAAAATCATTTATTTAAACTAAAGTCCTCTTCCCAATTCAGCCCCCTCTCAAATAAGTCTCCTCTCCAATGTGCTTGCCGCTTTTAAAGAATAAGATTTATCAAGTTGTCTCTCTAATAAGGTCCACCCCTTCACATGAAAGAAACACATCTGTACTGATTGGGAGAGGGAAGAGGGAATGATGTATGATGTCATCAAGATTTAATAATTTTATTGAGATTTCTACAACGTTTTAAACACAACAGTTCTATATAGAAATAAGTAGAATACCCAAATGGACAATATCAAGCACGAACGAGACATAAAGATATGGGTGGTGAAATGCCAAAGGTGTGAGAGATTTTGAAATATGAGGCCTTTATGACAGGGGCAACACTAGAGGGGGGAACACTCCTCCCCGTGAATGAGTCGTCAACTTGTTGGCTTTGTTGCATTCAGTGGGCAAGCCAACAATTGAGCTGTTTGGATATATATGGAATTATCGAATTATCTGAATTAAAACCAAACGTGTGAATTTAAATACAAAACTTAATACTTGAAAAAGTGAGGTGAATATCTTAAAAAAATTTGCTCTATCGAGTCGTAGCCACTGATCTATTAATAAGTTCGTTAGAGCATGCCCGTTCGCAGGTTAGGATTGTCCCACACTTCAATCATCGAGAATTTGCTTTTGCATAGTGGAAGCACGACTTCAAGAGCTTCCGCCGTTTCGCGCCATATTTTAATACATGTGGTAGTTGATCTGAAGCGTGACTTTATTTCGCTCGTTTTCATGTCAAAATATTAAACTCGGATATAAGAAAAGTATTATAAAGATTTAGAAAGCAAAGATTCAAGGCTTCAATTGGGTGACATTTTTTATCGAAGTTTCGCCGCACGAGCGACGGTGTCAGAGAAAAGCCATGCCTGTGAAATGTGAGTTCTGTAACAAGATATTTTCATGCAGAAGCGCTTTGGCAATGCATGAAAGAACACACACTGGAGAGAAACCTTATGAATGTGATGTTTGCAACAAGAGATTTTCTCAAATGGGCCATTTAAGAACACATCAAAGAACACACACTGGAGACAGGCCTTATGAATGCGATGTTTGCATCAAAAGATTTTCAGATTCAAGTTCGTTTTGTAGACATAAAAGAACACACACTAGAGACAAGCCTTATGAATGTGATGTTTGCAACAAGAGATTTTCTGAAATAGTCGATTTAAGGGCACATAAAATAATACATACTGAAGACAAACCTTATGAATGTGATGTTTGCAACAAGAGATTTCCTCATATGTGCATTTTAAGGGCACATAAAAGAATGCATACTGGAGACAAACCTTATGAATGTGATATTTGCAACAAGAGATTTCCAACTTCAAGTCATTTAACTAGACATAAAAGAATACACACTGGAGACAAGCCTTATGAATGTGATGTTTGCAAGAAAAGATTTTCACAATCCAGCAACTTAGCAACACATAAAATACAAGTGCACAAGAAGAACAAGAGTTTTGAGTGCGCTGTATGCAAGAAGATATTCACACAACAGCAAAGTCTCGAACGTCACAGAAGTGATCATTTAAAAGTTGGCTTGCTGTTGTGCAACACTCGGTGCAACATGTGTGGCATAGAAATTCATCAACCACAAGGACATGCTAATGAGATGCCCAGCAGTCATTACAATTGTGATAAATGCAACAAAGAATTCCCTGAACTTCTGGGCTTGACACAGCACAAGGTGAAAGACCATGGTACCAGCTACCAGTGCGATGTCTGTCAAGAGTTAGAGGCACAAGAAGCAACTGGTATTGGATACATTTGTTGTATTTGCGATACTGAGTTTGACATTGCAACTAAACTTGAAAGTCATATGAAGAGCCATGACTGAACTTGAAAGTCATATGAAGATCCATGACTGAATTTGAAAGTCTATAAATTAGACCCATGACTGAACTTGAAAGCCATATGATTTTAATTAGGATCAGTTTGACTTTAGCTGTTAATTGGGTTATTTTGTTGTGTTTGGTTGTAATAAACTCATTAAACTGTGATTGGAATAAAATTATATTCCACTTTGTCATGACTTATTGTAATATTTATTTAGAAATTTGAAATATTTACAGCAGTTTAAACCATGACATGTTTGTGCATAAACACTAAGATCCTTTATAAAATCATTTATTTAAACTAATTTGTCCTCTTCCCAATTAAGCCCCCTCTCAAATAAGTCTCCTCTCCAATGTGCTTGCCGCTTTAAAAGGATAAGATTAATTTATCAAGTTGTCTCTCTAATTAGGCCCACCCCTTCACATGAAAGAAACACATCTGTATTGATTGGGAGGGGGGAAGAGGGAACGATGTATGACATCAAGATATGGGTGGTGAAATGCCAAAGGTGTGAGAGATTTTGAAATCTGAGGCCATTATGACAGGGGCGACACTGGAGGGGGTGAAACACTCCTCCCCCATGAACAAGTCTGCAAGTTGTTGGCTTTTGTTGTATTCAGTGGGCAAAAAAGCCATAAATTCAGCTGTTTGGATATGTATGGAATTATCGAATTATCTGAATTAAAACCGAACGTGTGAATTTAAATACAAAACTTAATACTTCAAAAAGTGAGTTAATCTATCCACTCGTAGCCACTGATCTATTAATAATTTCGTTCCCAGGGCATGCCCTTCGCAGGTTAGGATTGTCCCACACTTCAATCATCGAGAATTTGCTTTTGCATAGTGGAAGCACGACTTCAACAGCTTCCGCCCATTGAACTATAAATAAACTGGAAGGCTAACTCAGGGGGGGAAATTGAAGCCAGTGCATTTTAGTTTTTCTGAGTTATGAGCAGAAATACTCAACATTGAACGTTGGGCTATATATCAAATTGAAGCTATTGAAAAACGCTATTTGGTGTAGAAATTTCAAGTCTTTAGCTAAAAGGGAAATATCGAAAAACTACAAACATAATTACCGATAATTTGCCGTTTTGCAGTTGTTTTTGTATTTTTTAAATATTTTTCTTTTCGCTGAAGTCTTGAAATTTCCACACCGAATAGCCATTTTCAATAGCTTCAATTTGATATATAGCCCGACGATTGGGGTCAAGTATTTCTGCTCATAACTCAGAAAAACTATTTTGGCTTCATCAAATCATAGGCCTTCATCATAGCAGTCAATCTCGTTCCCAGAGTATGCCTGTTCGCGGGTTAGGTTGTGGCATGACCTAACCCGCGAACAGGCATACTCTGGGAACGAGATTGCATAGCAGTTAGCCTTCCAGTTTATTTATAGTTCAATGCTTCCGCCCCAATCTCGTTCCCCGAGCATGCCCGTTCGCAGGTTAGGGGTGGGCATAGTCCACCCTTAACCTGCGAACGGGCATGCTCGGGGAACGAGATTGCTTCCGCCCTCAGTGCTTCCGCCCAATCCGCCGTTTCGCGCCTGACTCGTACCCACTGAGCTCTACTATATATATCTGGAGATCGTGCTCCCATATCTCGTCAAACAAAAAAGTGTCCGCAAAAACATGGCGGATTTCGAGCTCCGCGTCCACTATTTTCGGGCGATTTACCACTGACCACATAATATTTTTGAAAGCCACTTGTTTTCGCACCCCCCTGGATGCAAAAAGTATACACTGTAGTATTTATTATAGTTTAAAACTATCAAGTTTCACAACTTTATATTTTGTCAACATGCCGCGTTAATATTGCTCGGTTTATGGTTGTCACAACTCCTTTGACAAAGACGGACTGTATTCACACTGGTAAGGAAATATTATTTTGTGCTTAGATATCATTCGAGAAGTTTTTTCTGCAAATGACAATGTAAAGCAAACTGTAGTTTATGTTTTGTTCACGTGCATGTGTCACCAGCTTTTCTCGACTATATGGCTTCTTTTCTGAGGTTTTTGCATGCAGTTTGTTTCATTCAAATATTATATTTCCATTGTTCCTTGTGATGTTCTCGTGTGCGTTTTTCCTACCTACTGTACAGTGTATTTTATAGGCCTGTTTGTATTTATAAAAGCATATTGTTATTGAATTTTTTCCCTTCACATATTTAAGCATTTCTGATGCAAAGAAGCATCCAGAATTGTACAGCATATGGGTTGAGTATATGAATAAACATGCACCAGTGAAGTCTGTTCCTGCGAAAAGTAGTCGTTTGTGTTCAGATCACTTTAGTGCTGATATGTATGAGATAAAGGGCAAAAGCCAGAAATTAGTATTGAGACCAGATGCTAATACCAACAATAGTTACACAAAGGTTTGCGCTCAGGTCATTGGTGCGATTTAATTAATGTTATATGTAACAGTGTGCATGATTTACAGGGACGCCGGAACGATAATAGGGCAAAGGGGGGCGGACGCACACCAAGGGCACCTTTACTGAAAATTTTTATTTCACTGCAAAATTTTTTGGCGACCTCCCCCCCCGTCGCCAAAAAAATTTCGGTCAGTGTACCATTTTAGGGGTCAAAAATTTTTTCCAGACATACAAAAATTTTCCGTGAAGCCAAAAATTTTTCCGGATATCTTAAATTTTCGCCATTTCTTCAAACTATTTTTCATGACCCCTTATTTTTCTAACAAACTATTTTATCCCCCCCCCCCTTATTCAGGCAACATATTTCATAGCGCCCCCCCTCCACCCCAATTCTGAATTCAATTACTCTAAGTCAAGTCAGTTTCGTAACCATTTTTCCTGCCCTCATACTCAGTTTACTTGCAGATGTAAAGAATATTGTAAATATTGAAAATAAAGAATATTGTAAATATTGAAAATGATAGCCAAGTAGATAATTCAGACTTTATACCTGAAAAGTTGTTGGTCCTCAAACAAAAAACCCACAAATCAGACCTACTTTTACTAATTGAAAAAAATACATTTGTGTCTGGTGGAAGCATTACTGTATATTGAAGAGATGGCAGAAGAGACTGTCAACAACATGCAGAAACAGAGCATGCGAAAGAGGTCCACTGTGTTAAAAGCAGGACAACAACTGTCAATTGAATCTTGCATTTGCAAATGCAGTGCATGACCCTTTAGACAAATTCTTTGGTGATGATGAGGATGACAATTTCCATATACAGTGCCTAGAACACAACTTTTAGGTTCAATATATTGGGCATTACTGTTCAATGTATGTATACTGTATATATCCATCACTCTTTTGATATTGCATGTTACAAACTATTCCATAGATTTTATTTTTTGCCCCCCCCCCTTTATGTTCAAAATATTTTCTGCCCCCCCTTCACTGGTCAAAAATATTTTTTTTGTGGCCCCTCTATATTAAAATTTATTGTTACATTTACTAGGAATGGTATGCTGGATGTGTTTTAAAAGAGGGCATACAAAAATTGTGTGCCCAAATAGAGCAAAAACCCACTCAGACAGTTGTTCAAGAACAACATAATTGGCACAATTGCCATGATATTAAATTCACTAAGTAACTTTGTTTATGTTATAATGTGTGAATGTTGTGTGAGTGTTGTTTGTTAATTTTTATTTATTTATTAGGCCATTAATAAATATTCTTGGTTTGAAAAATATTTTAGGGGGGGGGGATGTCCCCACTGCTGGTGCCACCACTGGAAATATCAGCTAATTATAGCCAGCATAGCTTCAATAAAATATATTGAAGTAAATATGACATCAAATACTCTTTTATTAAAAGCGATAGCTATGTGCGTGTTTCACTTGTATAATTTGGGACAACCCGAGAATATCCTTATGGAATTAACAAAATAAAACATGGGACATGAGACCAAGAATACTTATTGATGGCCTGTAATAGTAATATAATAATATTGTATATATTTTTAAATTAAACTTTTTAAATGTTGAATAAATCTAATTTGTAATGAAAATTAATAATGCACATAAGAATATGTTTAATAAAATAATATATAATTATTGTTTGGTGTGCTAGATCCTTCATTAACTAATCCTTGGCTTTGCCTGGTCAAACAATATGATTCTATTGCCATGAATTGCCATCGAATATAACAATGATTCCAGTGACAAACGTAGAACCATATACATTTGGGTATTTATTACTGCAGACTGCAGATTTACTTTCCCCATAATGTGCACAGAGTACATTGTGAGTAGACATGATCAACAATATGCAGTTTCCATAATCTGAAAAAATAATCATAATTAGATGATACATGCATAAACTGACATAAGTTTCGTTTCAACAACGCATGGCTGTGTTCACAAATTTATATGTTAAAATTATATGTATAGTAGAAATGCAAAAGGAACAACGTACTTTTTATACAATTTGAAAGAGAATTATGCACATATCAACCGCCTGCCCGGGGGGTACACCCCGGGACAACTGGGGGGAAACGAGGGGGATTTTGGTATTTTATCTGTGTGTCCTGCCTGTGAACCCCGGGGAAATTAGGGAGTGGTCATTATTTATGGGGAGGGGGGGGGGGTGTTGGGAAATGGGGAAAATAAGGATTGAAAACTTTTTTGAACCCCCTCCAGACTGAAGGCAAACTTTTTGTGCCTCCCCCCTCATAAAAATAGAAACTTTTCTGACCCCCTCCCCAGTGTGGATTGAAAAATTAACAGCAATGAAACAGGTGTGCATTGCATGTAAAGTTAGATATTAGGACAATCTGTTTAATCTAGCTCATGATGTTTTACCCTGGTGAATATGATTCAACCATATGCGATTAAAAATATATATTATGTGTTACTACTTTGCAATGCAACATTTGTCCTACCATAACCCTAACCCATGACCCGTCTTCATACAGCAAAATGATTTGAACACAGGGTTTTTTTAAGAACTTGTCTGGGCACCAACCATGGTAGCGCCTCGCAATCATGGGAGTCGGGCCCACTAAGTTTAACAAGCTTGCTACCCCCTGAGTGACCCAGTTGTGGTATTTACATAAACATACCATGCAAATACACTATCAATGCACAATGTAACGCTGTATATCCAAAAATCTGTTTCAGAAAATGCTCACATTTCACTTCTAGGGGTGGAAAAATACAAAAAATTTTCTGGGGGAGAATCCCGGGACCCGCCTACTAGTACATACGATACCACACCAAACTTTTTGTCACCAACAACCATCTGTCATCTCTCCACACTCAATATAGTATGGTCCCTTTTTGTAGATGCCCACCCCCGAGCAGGGAAATTTTCAGTCTCTAGATCGTTGGAAATAGCATTTTCAGAGTCTTCTTTTTTGCTATTTGTGATTATAGAAATCAGAACTCTAGACATGGTATTTAAGTTCAAAAACTTTTATGACCCCCCCTTTCTCTGTGTTAAAACTTTTTTGATCTCCCCTATTTATAAGGGTAAAACTTTGTTCCCCCCTCCCATTTCCCAACCCCCCCCCCATAAATAATGACCACTCCCTTACAAACTTCGCAATAATAGGACGATGGGGGGAGGGGAATTTGACGTGACAATTTGAATTTTATAAAGGAAGTACATAATTGGTGTGAACTCAAAATCGCAGGCTCACACAGAAAAATATCGATCCCCAACTTATTATTTATGATATTTTGTAGTGGTCTTGCTAAAATTTGAACAAATAAATACGGAATACATGAGTGTCATTGTGATACCCCAGTTTGTATAATAATTTTTAATTGTTTGTATGCTATTTATATTATGAACTACTTTATTGTAAGCCCAGGGGGAGGGCAGTTTGACTTACACATTTCCCGGGGGAGGAAGGGGGGAATTAATGCATTAGAATCAAAAGTCCCGGGGGTGTACCCCCAGGGCAGGCCATTGATATGTGCATTATATACAAGTAGTAATCGAGTTGAAATATTATATAATAGTAATAAATTATAGTATATTTCAATAAATGAATGTATGGTACAGTACAAGTGTTTCATTAAAATTTTGAAAAATGCCTCACCTGTAGTGCTTTTCAGCTTTTGTTGTTTATTTATTAACATATGGAAACAGAATCACCATAGTCCTCGAAATTTCAAAAGTTTGTTTCCCATCATGACAATTATTTCAATTTCTCGTTAATTTAGTAATTTATTACTCATTTTCTACGGCTCCACACAAAATACTGTAGGTCTGCACCTACCGATACTCCAAAAGCATACATGCGACATGGGCAAAAATACCACCATTCGTTCAGCTCATTTATATTATCTGTTTGGATCATCATTTATACATTTCACGGCAGAAATTGTGGAGATAGTCGCTCGAATGAATTAAAGCTCCAGCTTGAACTTGATATTAGTTGGTAAAGTTCAAATATTTACTAATTTCAAATCTTCTCCAATGTACTCCTTTTTTAAAAATTATAAAGATCAGTCATCAGTGGCTCTCTGGTCAGGGGGAGTGGGAAATGTCGCCCGCACGCATTTGAACTGTGGTCAGTTAACATACCATGAGAATAGTGGACGTGGAGCTCGAAATCCGCCATGTTTTTGCGGACACTTTTCATTTGCGAGCACGATCTCCAGATATATATAGTAGAGCTCAGTGGTCA